TGGCTAGCTAAAAATAGTTTCTTGACCTAAATAAAATTAATAGTCTTTATCTATCAGATGTTTTGGAAAAATCTGGAGAAAACTGGAAAGGAAAACAAATGTAAGAGCGGTTCCAGTTGTTTCAGTGGAACATATTCTAAAAGGGGGACACGATAGATTTTTGGGAGAACATTTTTATTTACGAGATATTTTTACTTTACGGGACGACAGGCAATAGTTATTTTTAGAGTGTGTTATTCTTGATTGAGCTGTGTTTACTTATATGTGTGAATTCCTATTCATCAGTGTACAGCTTTTGCAACATTGTATAATCATCATCTGTGTACCGTACAAGCAAAACAGTACTCTGTAAGTTAATGATTTTAATTATATTCCTTTTATTTTTTAATTTATTATTAACTCAAAAAAACGTATTAATTGTAATTAGCCTGTTTTGATTGCCGTATTCTTTTGCTATTGTATTTCTCAAATTGTGGGATGGTCTTTTTTTATGCACTGTTTAGAACGAGGAATAAACTTAATAAAATAAGAGATTAATTTCTCCCTATAGATAGCAATGCGTAAAAGTATGCAGTGGCCTGATATTCCGGATATGACCTCAACTTTTGGGATGAGATGTGGACTGTTGTTGAGGAGTAGGACAAGTTTGTTTTCTCATCGTGTGGGTTCTTTAGCCAGCTGTTCCAGACCATGGTTGTTAATCATGTCCATGAAGTCATTGTGTAGGACAGGGTATGGGGACTGAGGCTTCAAGGCAGGAATTTTCCAGTTCCAAACAGGAACTTTACCCCCCTCCCCCTATGATGAGGAAAGCGTTCTTCGACTGTGTTGCTGTCTGAAGTGATCCCTCGAACCTCCTCAGGCTTGGTTCATCAGCTGTGTTGGGTCTTTAATAGGCTCAAACGTAAAGTGTGCGTCTACCCTTCAAATTTACCTTCAGCCACATTTGTTTGCAGTCATCAACATCTAGTTGTGCAACAACGTGACAGTCCAGGCTGTAGTGGACAGCAACAAGTACTCCTTCTTCTCTGCTTTTTCTGTCTACCCGGAATAATTTGTTATTATCCGGCACAACCTCTGCGTTGGCTATGGAGGGATTCAACTATTTCTCTGTATCCAGTAGGATGTCAGGCTTTAAGCTGTTGATCAAGTTGGTTATCTCGACTCTATTCCCGATTGCAGACTGAAAGTTCACATTCAATAGGCTCAATGGTCTGTGTTTCAACGCGTCTTCCTGACTGGAGCGCATAGGAGTAGAGCAGTGTGGTGGCAGAAATCGTTCTGCAGACACTTTCTTACATTTCTCTTTTCAGGTTTTCCCCATACTTTTCTTTCACTCATTTCCTTCTACGGATCATTTCATATAGTGTTTCTTTCAGGCATCTCTCCGTGGGGCAATTCCCTCCCCTCCTCCCCAACCCCCCCTTACCCTTTTTTCCAACCAATCCGGGAGAAAATAATCTGTAACTGGTACTTTTCACCGAAAAAAAATAGTTCAGTAGTGAGACCACAGAAATATTTCTACACACTGGATATATTTCATTATCCAAATATAAGCTTCTTCCTTCTGAATACCGCACTGTTCCAAAAATACACAGCTCCCGATAATAAACCACGCGCTTACTTTTCCATCCTCACATATCTTAGATGCAACATCCTTAGTTTAAATTTTTGGAACAATGAGGTATGAATTCTATCATTTTAATATATTTAAATAGATCTCCTGTTTTCTATTTATATTTCGCCATAAAATGAGATCAGATTTTATCAAATGTATATTGGCATGATGTTTTTTAAAAATAAATCACAATTTTAAATGTATCCGGTTCCATAAATTGCTGAAGAGATTTGAAAAACTTAAAAAATTGGTTTGTGGAAAAAAAAAAAAAATCAGGAATGCAAATTTAATGGTTGTGCGTTTTATCAATTGTTATTTAATCGAGAGCGCATTTATATTTTGTAAATTTTGTACTTTTGTGAAAAATTTTCTTGAAAAACAGAATTTTAAATATTTTGCCCATGCATAGTTATAAATATACCACCCCAGGGGCGGCCAAAAGAAGTGATAACGTTTCTTACAATGTAATATAAACGAAAGACGCCACCAATAATAAGAAGTCGTTAAGTAGCAGGCGGCTCATTGAGATGGCCATTGAGGGAACGTTACTTTCATTCAATGATACCAACTAACGCTTAGCCACCTGATGTTCTGAGTGTTTCGAGCCACCCTGTACGTTTAGATATAAATCCATTATCCAGAAGGACATATTTATGTGTGTGTGTGTGGGGGGGGGGGGCGTATCTTAACCAAATAATCATTTAGGGTTGAGAGCATTTAGTAAACATTAAATGTATATGAGCTACATACATAAAAAGAAATCCCCGGGTTTAGGAATCTGAACGAGACTAAGTACAAATACACTTGATTATTCATATTCAAATAATGAATGGAATGGACAATAGATTGCCTTTCTACGGCGACATTTGGCCGACCAGTTCCAGAAGAGACGTATTTCGGATTTTGGCATTTTAACATATTATGTATTAAGTTTCAAACGGCTTTTCTGTTTTAATATCCGAAAAATAAACAATGGGCCCCACCTATTTCAAAGCATTTTAAGAAAATTAATATCTCTACAAAAGAACCAAATAGAATGCTGTACCACTGTTTTGTTGAACTAATAATTTGCTCATCATGCTCATTCCATTCTTTTGTGTACTAGTATAACAGATTTAGAATAATCGTCCATTTAAAAATAAATTATATGAATTAGATTTTTTTTGTTAATTGATTAATGAGATATTTTGTAACATGTCTGAAGAATATTATAGTAGTTTAAAAATAAAGTACTGGAATAAAGACTACTGGGGGGGAGTAGTTGATGGCCATTTGGCTTTAGCGGGGCATGCTTTGGGGAAGACTTCATGGGCTTCGGCGCGATAGTGTACTGTTTCTCTAAAGTAGATTAGTAGTTTAAAATACGAATGTAATATTTTCACTCTACTAAATATTGGAAAACTTCTTCTATTTTATATTACCTTATGTGAAATCGTAAATTAATAAACAAAAGATGCGCTTCGTAAGTATCTTCTGTCTTCTTAACATAAGTCTGATATTCCTATACGATTTATATTTTTTAAACGCTTCAAATAGCCACAAGGGATAGATATTTCTACAAAACAGTATTTTAAATTAAATTTTTCACTCCGTTAAAAATTTGAAATATTTTAGAAAAGCTAATTTTATTACTATAAGAAAGTTGATTTCATTTGCGTTCAAATGTAAAAAGATGTAAGAAACCCTTTACTCTGTGGGCACATCTTATTGACGGAACTATTTTTTTTTTTTAAATCCTTCATTAAGTAGTTTTAACAAATAAATAGTTCACATTAGTTAAATTATTATTTAGTGTACAACTAAAAAAAAAATCATTTGTAATTACTCAACCAGGGCAAGCAAAGTTGCTGACTTTTCGAGGCCCGTCTGAATTTTCAGTCCGTCCCAAACCCTCCCCCCCCCACCCCTCCTGCATTCAAAGTTAATATTTTTATTTGATATTAAATGTTTACACATCACAATTTTGGGTCCTTTAAAGGTGTGAAGAACCACGTGACGGCTCTGAGGTCAAAAGACACGCACATTTTCACCAACATCTCTTCACGTTTCTTTCCGATTAAGGTAGAGTAATGCAAAACTAAATTCAGGTATGTGCCAAAATGCATTCCTCCTTTTTTTTTATTTACCAGAAATTTCTGTGGCGTAGGGCTTTCACTCACTGTAGAGAAACTTAATTTTCTTCAATTTGGTACTTATCCTTAGGATATATTATAAATTCAAGCAGTAAAATTATGCTTGGGCAAAACGCATAACACCCAGGAAGTCACAACCGAAATGATTTAAGTTCGTGTTTGGCTGGGAGGTCGAGTTAGAACTTCCCCTGGTCGTCATTATGACTAATTGTGGCGCCGATAGATGCCCACCGAACATGTGAAATGCACACCCTCTTTGGAATAAATGGTCTGAAGTAATCAACCCCCACCCAGTTTATTTCTGCATCCCCCGCGCCCCCTTTCCATCCCAATCACAATTAACATACCAACAGCATTTTATCCCTAAAAAATATAAGCCCCCCTCCTCTTTCTTAATGCATTTTAACACAATTTTAATAGATATAAACTGTGTTTGTGTGTCTCCACAACTTGGCAAATGTCATAAAAGAGTCATGACATTAAAAAGGTTAACAAATATATGAATTTTGGACCCTTCAACTTGATGCAATTGTGATTGCTACTGGTCCTATACATGAACTTTTCATTTTTTCCCACTGGATGGAAAAACATGATTGAAAATGAGAAGATAACTCTTTTGGTTTTTGTATCACACGGAAACCTAACTCGGACCCGACAGGTATTATCTCATAATACTCGGACCGAGTGTAAGAGAACTGAACCCGGCTCAGTTCTAAGTGGAAGTATACTCATCTGGCAAAGATGTTATGTATTTGTGTTTTTGTGTCTGTCATTGGTGTGGTTTATTGGTGGTGTACTTTATTTTAAAATAAACATGGTATTTTTAAGTAAAAACAATTTCTTTAAAAACATATATTTGTCAGGCGTTAAATTAATCGTAATAAGAAAAAAGAAAATGAATCCACAAGACTGTCATTCCTTTTTAAAATCACTATTTTTTTTTGTTTTATAATGGAAACATTTTTAGTGTGCTGATTATATATACAAGTTGACTTAACTAAAAACAAGTAACTAAAAATGTAAACCTCTCCAGAATAAATGTAACATTTAGACCGGGGGTCCCTCTGTCTAAATTTCAAAACAAATCCTGCACCCTCACCTCAACTTCACAATATATTTCACAAAAATTTAATAAACATGATGTCTTGATCTTCCAGCACCCTTTGACAATCATTTGAGAACCTTTGATTTATACTAAATATCATTTCCTTGTTTTCCATATCACACTGTTTCATGGGTTAATTGCCTGACACCTTTCGATACAACCATTATATTTTTACCCAGAAAGTACAGACGCGGTAAAATTCCCGGAACGTAAACAACGACATCCTGTTTGCTCTTGCTATAAAAAGTCGTTTCAAACTGTTGTGGATCACTCGTCGACGTGTTGCACAGCTATCATTTAATATTACTTTCACAAATTCTGACATCTGACCATGAGCCCAGTACTGAAGCTCTCTGTCATCTGCGTGGTCCTTGCAGTGTCGGCACTGATGTCGCAGACCGCGGAGGCTAACCCCATTGGGGACTGCTATGAAGCGTGGAGCCGTTGTTCTCAGTAAGATCAAATACATTATTTAGGCTCTTATTTATTATGTGAAATACTTTCTTTCTGGCACAAGCATATTCGTATGAAGACTGGTCGGATGTGGCCTTCCCTTTTCTTTCTTGGGGGGGGGGGGGGGGGGGCGTGACTTGGGGTCACTTTTGTAATATTGAATGACTGCTTTTTCGGTCAACTGCAGAGTGTTTTTTTTTTGTTTTTTTTTGTTTTTTTTCGTTGAAGGGGGTGGCAAAAGGACTTGGGTCGCCTCGAGGTGGCACTGACCCTAGCTACGCCTCTGCACCTCTCTCATTTATCTGAATATTGTCTCTGCTCTTCACGCACCACGCGTTCCACGTTTTCTGTGTTACTGTATCACTATGCCAACCCTGTGTACATTTGTATAGGATTTTCACAACTTCTTTATCAACAATTACAATTTCGCTGCTCCCATTCTATCACTTTTATGTTTTATTGCAATATTTTTATTTTAAAAGAATTAAGTGTTTCGGGAAATGTGGGGGTGGGTGGGGGTCGCGTATTATGAGTGCAATCCTGTCATTTTTAGGCCATCTGCCATTGTGTTGACCTCTTGTCTTTTTACTCGTGGTTTGTTACGTACGACATACTAGATCAGTGTGTTTAGATTTAGACGGGATCAGTGAGGCGTGATACACTCGGGATCAGTGGGGCGTGATACAAAAGGGATCAGTGGGGCGTGATACACACGGAATCAGTGGGGCATTATACACACGGAATCAGTGGGGCATGATACACACGGAATCAGTGGGGCATTATACACACGGAATCAGTGGGGCGTGATACACACGGAATCAGTGGGGCGTGATACACACGGAATCAGTGGGGCGTGATACACACGGAATCAGTGGGGCGTGATACACACGGGATCACTGGGACGTGATACATTTGGGATCAGTGGGTTGTGATACAGATGGTATCAGTGGGTTGTGATGTACACATTATCCACGGGTTGACGAACAACACATCGCATGCACTTTAAGCCCACTTATCTATAGGTAACATTGCATCTTACATAACTTGACCGCTTTGCTTCACCAAATACTTAATCATAACGATTGATTGACGTTTTTATTTATTCCACAGATGGAGCAACTTTATGAGTGGCAAAAGGTTTGGCTGGCTAACTTGTTCTCAAAAGTGTCAAGAATTGGGACATCAAACTGGGGTGTGTGTCTTGACCCCTTCTAACTGCCCCATTGCCCGTGAAGCATATCAGTGCCAATGTCAGGATTAAGAGATCTAATACATGGGATCTGAATCTATCGTCGCATTGTCGACACAATTTTCACTAGTCAAGCTTTTTTTTTCCAAATTAAAGGAATAAAGATTATGTTTTTGGCTTTATAACATGTTGTTTTTCTTACATATAAACATTTTAAAATTTAATGTTTATGATTTTGCAAAACTATGAAACGCAGTCACAATATCGTTTTTTAAAATATTATAGAAAGCGTATTTAATTGATTGAAGACTATAGGTTGTACCTTTTATAGAAACGTAGTTGTTTTATGATTAAGTAATGTTACTGATAAAAGTTAGCGAATAATGTGCTGCTTTTCCTCAAAGCAAGAGATGGCTTGCCAATACTATTTCATTTCACTTCATAACGACTAACTCGCTCTCTTCTTCTTTATATCAAGGGCCCACGATCAATTTAATGATCATTTTGGTACCTATGCATGCAGAGGGGATTTGCAATGTGTCTGTGCCTGGTGTTGACGAGGATATTTCACTTGTTGCAAGGGCTATTTAGTGAGGGTATCATGCACTCGGGTTTTGAAGGCTTGAGGCAATAGAACAAATGTGTCTAGTGTTGTCGCCTCAACTGTGCCTTTTGAAAGCTTGTTCCAGTCCCTAAGTGTCTTTAGCAGGAATGAGCAGTTCCTATAGTGGCTTCTCGCTGGTATGAGCCGGAATTGCCTGTGAGGGCCTCGTTGCTGTCTATGGGAGAGAGGGACGAGTTTCTGTTCAATGCTGGAACAGTGGACCAGCCCATTATTTATCTTGTACATTATGGAAAGCCTGGATAGTCGTCGTCGTTCCTCCAATCGTGACCAGCCTAGTGTTTCCAGCATGCTGCCAACACTAGAGGTATTCCTATAGCGGTTTAGGACAAAGCGTGCTGCTCGTCGCTGGACCGCCTCCAACCTGTCAATGCTCTTCTGGGTAAATGGGTCCCAGACTAAAGATGCATAATCTAAAAACCGGACAGACAAAGGCTTTATAGGCTCTTTCTTTCATACAGGAGTTGTCAATCTTTAGATTACGCCTTAAGAACTCCAGGGTCTTGTTTGCCTGGTTGCCCCTATAAGGTGAAAAGCGTTCGTCACTGTGTTGCTCTCTGAAGCAACAAGGTCCAAATGAATACTACACAGTAATTTATTATACATGCTAAATACATCCGAGCAATGTTATAACAATTATAATTTTAATGCTGAGAATATGGATACATACACGTTCAATACCTTATCTCATATTAATTCAGTAAATCCATCAGAAAAAATCCAATATGGCATCCTCCAACAGCGAAATTATTTCGTTCACTGCTGCCATGGGCGCCCGCAGAAAACTTTCTGGGGGGGGGGGGGTCGATACACTTTCCGGGGGGGGATTTTAATATAGTTTTAATTTACTGTAGCGTATTTGTATGGTGAACGAACGGACAGGACATCAGCTTAGTTACTTTCTCTTTATTTTCTCTTTACTTTAATACATTTTTTGTCTATTTTTGTCTAAAAATTTTTTTAACCAATCAATCCAGGGGGGGGGGCGCAAGTGCCCCCCTTGCCCCCTCTGCTGGCACGTGCGTTACGATAAATGGCGTGCTATAGTAAGACCCGTGTTATGGCATCATGTGCATTAATGGTGCTCTAATGCATGCACACTGGTCGACTTATTTATTTCATTGTATCCATTCATCATTAAAATTGACTCAAAGCCTGACCGTAGACAAGAATTTGAGAGATTCATATCAATAGAATTTGCGTGCGGACAATATTGAAATTGAAAATAATAAAACATTGTGTTAGACTCGTTTTTTTAATTTGCAGATAAACTTTGACACTTATTAAAAACGTAACAGATTAGTTTTCAAAGTTCATACTTTACTTCAATAGTGATAACACGGAGTGATTGATATGTGTACGTTTAATCGTGTTTGATTGATAGACAATACAGACAATGCAGAGGTTACTTTCCAAGTGTATGCATTAGTCTCGCAATCTGTCAACCATGTGAATGGAGACTAGCTGACATATATATATATGGCATCCTTTAGTCTTCGTGAGACGATCGAGTAACTATGGGCATTTTATCAAATGGCTCACTACAGGTCGGTCCTGGAATAGAGGTCTGAGTTGCATTTCTCTAATATACAAGTCTGTAATTTTTTTATTTTTTATTTATAATAAAAAAAAACCCAATTCTTTCTTGAATAATAAAAAAAAAACTCAAGTTAAGTTGATTTTTTTCAATCAACTTGTTTAACTGGCTTGTATTCATTCAACACGTTACACTTGCCTATTACCAATGCCTTCATTCAAATTGCAACTTGTGTTCCCTGCTAGAAATAACAATTTAAATTCTTAAAAACGTTTACTTCTAGACGCTTGTCACGAAATTGAAGAAATAAAAGCAGACACAAAAGTTCTGCCATCCGAAAATATTTTAATTTTGTATATAGTTTTGTTGGTTTTTGACGAGGCTCTAAAAATAGACTGGATATTTTAATAGCACAAACAATATGCCGAGGACCATGCTTGCAACGCAGCCATTTTAAAACATCAGTCAAATGCCCAAGCAATTAAGTATTAGATTAAATAATGTGTACCTTAAAACAGGAACAGGGGTGAAGGGGTGCGGATCGGGCGGTAAGCCCAGAGGCGGCACTTTTTTTGTCTACAAACATAAAATTGTGGCTTTTCGGGATAACATTGACATTGGAATGTATCGGCAACAAGGCCATCGATCCTAGCCTCGCCACTGCCTACAAGGAATTCATAGTATAACTTATTTTTGCACACGCAGGCCTAGTCACAAGCAGGGCTACCTACACGCAGGCCTTCCAACCTAAATGCAGGCCTACCTACACGGAGGTCTACCCACACGCAGGCCTACCTACACGCAGGTCTACTTAAACGCAGGCCTTCCTACACGCAGGTCATCTTACATACATGCATCTCTACCTACGCGTAGATCTACCTAAACGCAGCTCTACCTAAATGTAGATCAATCTACATGCAAATCTACCTACACGCAGGCCTAACTACACGTAGATCGACATACACGTAGGCCTACCTTCACGCAGGGGGTACCTACACGCATGTCTACCTACACGCAGGCCTACCTACATGCAGGCCTACCTACGCGCATGCCTATCTAAAAGCAGGGTGTTGAGATTCCCATTGAGTCGTGTAACGATAATTTAATCTCTAAAGTTAGTTCACATTTCATCAGTGACCACAACACACATTCCGTGTACTTCTGACCAAGAGACTTCTGACCAAGGGACTTCTGACCAAGGGACTTCTGGCCGAGAGATTCTGACCGAGAGACTTCTGACCGAGAGCCTTCTGACCGAGAGACTTCTGAACGAGAGCCGTCTGACCTAGACACATCTGACCAAGAGACTTCTGACCAAGAGACTTCTGAGCAAGAGACTTCTCACCAAGAGACTTCTCACCAAGAGACTTCTGACCAAGAGACTTCTGACCGAAAGACTTCTCACCAAGAGACTTCTCACCAAGAGACTTCTGACCGAGAAACATCTGACCGAGAGACTTCTGACCAAGAGACTTCTGACCAAGAGACTTCTGACCAAGAGACTTCTGACCGAAAGACTTCTGACCTAGAGACTTCTGACCGTCAGACATCTGACCGAGAGATCTCTGACCTAGAGACCTCTGACCTAGAGACTTCTGACCAAGAGACTTCTGACCGAGAGACCTCTGACCTAGAGACTTCTGACCAAGAGACTTCTGACCGAGAGACATCTGACCTAAAGACTTCTAACTGAGAGACATCTGCCCTAGGGACATCTGACCGAGAGACTTCTGATCGAATTCTGACCTAGAGACTTCTGACCGAGATACATCTGACCTAGAGACATCTGACCGAGAGACTTCTGACCTAGAGACCTCTGACCGAGAGACTTCTGAGCTAGAGACTTCTGACCGAGAGACATCTGACCTAGGGACATCTGACCGAGAGACTTCTAACCGAGAGACATGTGCCCTAGGGACATCTGACAGAGAGACTTCTGACCGAGAGACTTCTGACCTAGAGACTTCTAACCGAGAGACTTCTGACCTAGAGACTTCTGACCAAGAGACTTCTGACCAAGAGACTTCTGACCAAGAGACTTCTGACCGAGAGACATCTGACCTAGGGACATCTGACCGAGAGACTTCTAACCGAGAGACATGTGCCCTAGGGACATCTGACAGAGAGACTTCTGACCGAGAGACTTCTGACCTAGAGACTTCTGACCGAGAGACTTCTGACCGAGAGACTTCTGACCGAGAGACAGGCAGCGCACGTCTTAGAGACCCGTTGTTTTTTAAAGTATAAGTAATCGATAAATATAACGCTTAATGTCATGAGCAGAGACAGCACTTTATTAACAAAGATGACTAAGGAGCATAACATAAATACTCTGTTGTTGCTCAGATGCTTAAACGCATTGAGTTTGTTATTTACATTGTTCTGAAGTCAATCGACTTGACTTTGAGTCAATCCATAAACAAATTAATCTAAACATATATCTATTTAAAAATATTTTTTTTTTAAATAAAGAACTTCGTTCCCGATGCTTGATTAAAGATTTTGTTTATGGAAAAAAAAGAACACAAATTATATCAACCGAATTAAATGAGCAGGAACACCAGTTGGTTTTTCATTGTCGTAGAGCCGAACCGTAAGAGATTTAAAAGCAAATAAATTTTCCTCTTCGGTCAGCAATATCTTTTTTATTCAATTTTTTTTTTTTAAAGGAACGGTTTTAAAATCTCGAATTTAAATTTGACAATTGAATCTTTAAATACTGTTACTTAAATACTGAATTTTAAGATATGATGACGTCATTATTACGGCATAGAGAACGACAATGCGAGGAAAAAGATGTCTCTTTTAAGAAATGTTTTAAAGAAACGAGTTGGCCCGGATATAGATTTTTACCTGTTTACCCCTACGCTTACGCCGTAGTAATTACGTTTTTAAGCCTAAGACTACGTCGCTACGACGCGCCTAAAAAAAACAACAAAAAAAAAAACTTTCGTTTCTGGAGTGTTTTTTTAGCGTTTGTTGTGTTTATTTTTAATTTAGCCAAAGATATAAAGGGGGGGGG